CCACCACCTGGCTTGAGCCCATATTATAATCACCAGACTTCCGGTTTGTATTATGGATAAACCTTGGTGTTGTGCATTCTGAGTTTAGACAAACTTAACAAGATGTACATCTACACTATCATGTAGAGTAGTATCACTGCTATACGAATCCGTCATGCTTGACTTAGCCATCCCCTCCCTCCACCAACACCTGTTTCACAAATTTGCCTTCTCCAAAATGTCACAGAATTGGGATCATTTAGCATATATAGCCTTTTCAGATCGGCTTCTTTGGCTTAGTAGTGTGCATTTGAGGTTCCTCTGCCTCGTCACACTTGACAGATCATTTCTTTTTAGTGCTCACTAATATTGCATTGTCTGGCTCTACCACAGTACATTCACCTACTAAAGGACATATTGGTTGTTCCTAAATTTGGGCAGATATGCATAAAGATGCTATAGGCTGGCCCAGTGTGGCAGCACATGACTTTAATCTCAGCACTCGGGGGTAGACGCAAGTGGATCTCTTGAGTTCTAAGCCAGCCAGAGGTATGTAGTGAGACTCTGTCTCAAAAAAATAAGGTAAAAATAAAATAAGTGCATTGTGCTACAGGCTTTTGTGTGGACATGTTTCAGCAGCTCCTTGGTGTGAAATGATAAGGAGTGTGACTGATGGACTTTATGATTGTATGGCAACAGTATGCTTAATTTTTCAAGAAACCACCAAATTGTCCCCCACAACGGCTGTATCATTTTACATTTCCAACAGCAGTGAATGAGGTGCCCTTGTCAGCACATGGTGCTGCCACTGCTCTGCAGTGCAGACTAGTCTTTCTCCTTGTTGACCAATATGGAGCATCTTTCATATGCTTTTTGCTATCTGTCCATCTTCCTTGGCAAGTTGTATATTAGGATTTGGGGCCTATATTTAATGAACTTTTCCTTCCTTCCTTCCTTCCTTCCTTCCTTCCTTCCTTCCTTCCTTCTCTTCCTTCTCTTCCTTCTCTTCCTTCTCTTCCTTCCTTTTTCTTTTTTGAGACAGGGTCTCACTGTGTATCCTTAGTGGCCTGGTGCAAGAGACCAGCTCCAACCTGTTGAAGGGTTCTTGGAGGGAAGAAAGAGGAATGAGGAAGTAGTAGATTGAAATATAGATGGAGGGCCTGGAGAGATGGCTCAGAGGTTAAGAGCACTGACTGCTCTCCCAGAGGTCCTGAGTTCAATTCCCAGCAACCACATGGTGGCTCACAACCATCTGTAATGAGACCTGGCACCCTTTTCCATATACATAATAAATAAATAAATCTTTAAAAAAAAAAAAAGATAGATGGAGATGACGAGAAAGACAGAGACACAGGATAGCTTCGGGAGGGCCCTGGGTCAATACCCAGTCTCCTCGAGTTTTATTCTAATGGGCTTTTTATACATCAGCAAGGGGAGAAGCAAAAGACCTCCCCCATCAAGATCAAAGCACAGCGTACAGCCAAGTGTAGACCCTTCCAAACACCCAGTAACCACGCCCCTGGCCAAATCATCCTATTATGCAGCCCTGCTGAGTAAAGCAAGCTCAGATTCTCTGACCTTTAGTAAGGTCTTATTAGGGAACCTCTGTGGGGCCCCACAGCCTGGAACTCACTATGTAGACCATGCTGGCCTCAGACTCACTAAAATTCACCTGCTGAGCTCCCAAGTGCTGGGATGGCGAACACCTCCCTTAATCTAGCTTTCTTACCTAGAGGTTCTACATTTTTCTGGATTCCCTATTAGGTATTTCTCAGTCTGGGGCTTACCCCCACCCCCACCCCCCTCTTGGCAGTGTCTTTTACAGAGATGTTTTTAAGTTTAATAAAGTTGGTCTTATTAATCCTCATAGCTAATAAACAGTACAGTGGTCTGAATGTGGCACTTAGAGGGACACTGGGAAGTACTATCATGTGTGTCCCCATATATATCATACACACATACCACACATATCAAAATAAATTTATCTGAAGACATTCACATTCAAATATTGATAGGCAGTCAGCCATAGGCTACTCCTGAAACTAGGCTAATAAGAGCTTCTCTGCTCTCCCAGCTTTTTATTCATCTGTGACAGCTTGGCTGAGGCCAGTCCACTCTCCCTACTCTCTCTCCAGATGAAGCGAAGGAGGAGTTCCTGGATCTGCTTGACATGTTGCTGCCCCGAGCCCAGACATTCGTGCCCCGGTTGGTGCGGATGGAGGAGTTCCACCTCAGCCTGTCTCAGAGCGTGGTTCTCCGCCACCACTGGATCCTCCCCTTCGTGCAGGTGCTCAAAGACCGCATGGCCTCTTTCCAAAGGTGAGCACTCCCCACTTCTGTCCGTGCCTCCCCACCCCCCCACCCCCCGCCGCCTTTGGTGTGCTTGGAGCTAGGAACGGTGGGTCCAAGCTGGCAGACCAGACCTAACGACCCGAGGCCGCTGTGGCCCGGCCCGTGTGGCACAGGCACCTCACAGAAGCCGCTGACTGCTCTTCCTCTGGGTTGTGCACAGAGACCCCGCTGTCTGCCTCTAAACTCGCACTAAGATTTCCAGCACCTCTGTGGCCAAATATGTGAGAGCTCCTCCCACACCAACACTCTGCAGCCTTCCAGATCCTGACTGGATAGCCTTCGGTTCAGTTCAGTTCCGACGCCAGCGTCCCCGAGTGCAGCCTCACGGGCTAAGGGCTTCATCCCTCAGGCTGGCCCCACAGGTGATGCAGCTCACATTGAGTCCCTAGGTTAGCCAAGAATTGTGATTTTGTCCCAGGTCAGAGCTTCCAACGATCCAGCCCTGCCGCCTCCTAGTGACCATTTGCTAGAAGGACTCACAGAATTCAGGAACACAGCTCACTGCCTAGATTTCCAACTTGTCACACAGAATTGGATTGATGATTGATTGAGGCAGGCAGGCACCCTGGGCCAGGCTGGCTTTGGATTTATAGCAATCCTGCCTCAGCTGCCTGAGACGGGGCTAGGCATAAGCCACCATGTGGACCTACAGAGGAGAGAGAGGGGTGGAGATGCTAAGGAAGCATTGTGTTGCCGAGCTACATCCCCATCCCTTACAAAGGATATTTATTTATTTATTTTAAGATTTATTTATTATGTATAAAGTGTTCTGCCTGCAGATATCCCTGCATGCCACAAGAGGGCACCAGATCTCATTACAGATGGTTGTGAGCCATCACTATGGTTTCTGGGAATTGAACTCAGGACCTCTGGAAGAGCAACCAGTGCTCTTAACCTCTGAGCCATCTCTCCAGCGCCCCGCCCCCCTTTATTTTTTGTTTTGTTCCAAAGGATGTTTTAAAAGATAAATGAAGAGTGACAGAAGAGACCCATAGGGCGGGGTTTAGAAAGGTCGCAGCTGGCCCGCTCCAGCTTGCTCCACCTACCTCAGGCATTTCTGCACTTACCTAGGTACACTGCTCCTGAAATCCTGGCCTGCCCTTGACCAGGTCTCCTCCAGTTGTTCTCAGGATCCCTTAGAGTCAGGAGTCACCTGATCCTGCTGCTGTTGATGGCCCAGGGATTCGTCGCACTCACCCTCACGTGTCCCCATGCCCTCCCCTCTTCTGGAGCCAGAGCCCCTCTGCCCGGGACTGTGGCTTCTCTCTGAATGCTCATGGTCTTCTCCGGGGACTCTGCTCTCCACTGCTTCAGTAGGTGCTTGCTCAGGGCTGGGCAGGAGTGAAGAGGTTCTTTCTGGGCTTCTCTGGGTCCTCCGAGGGCTGGGTCAATAAAGAACTCACAAAACTAGCTTGTTAGTGGAGTTCTGAATCTAATTTAATCTTAGTCCTCCCCCCGCCCCCCTGTTTTTTGAGACAGGGTTTCTCTTTGTAGCTTTGGAGCCTGTCCTGTAACTCGCTCTGTAGACCGGGCTGGCCTCGAACTCAGAGATCCGCCTGCCTCTGCCTCCTGAATGCTGGCGTGCACCACCACTGCCCTGATTTTTTTTAAAATACTTTTTATTTTGCTGTATGAATTTTTTTATAATTTATTTATTTTATGTGCATTGGTCTGCATGTATATCTGTGTGAGGGTGCCAGATGCCCTGGAACTGGAGTTACAGACAGTTGTGAGCTGCCATGTGGCTGCTGGGAATTGAACCTGGGTCCTCTGGAAGAGCAGCCAGTGTTCTTAACCGCTGAGCCATCTCTCCAGCCCCTGTATGAGTGTTTTGCCTGCATATATGTATGTATGTATGTGCCTGTGCTGGTGGAGGTCAGAAGAGGGCATCAGAGACATGGGAGGCTGTGAGCCTCTGTGTGGGTGCTGAGAACTGAACCCCAGTCCTCTGCTGAAGCAGTCAGTACTCTTACCCACTGAGCCATCTCTCCAGCTCTGTCTGCAGAGTCTTTCTTCATAGACACCCCTATGAAGGCCTGAAATGGGTAGAAATAGAAGTCTTACAGTGAATCCCCAACTCCACTGTTTAGGGGGCCTGAGGCTCAGGAACTCTGGAGTGTGGCTCTTCCAAATGGAAAAGCTCCCCATTTGGTTGAGGAGGAAAGAATTTGCTCCATTGTGGTCAGTTGGTGAGAAAACCAGGATGAAGCGCATCTCATTCTGGGCCACTATCAGATTTATTAAGCCAGCTGTGTATTATCAGCTGTATCACAGGTGCCAGAACCCAACCTAAATTGGCTTCACCCAAAGGGAATTACAGATGTGTTCAGAGTCAGCCCTAGTTTCATGCATGCGTAGATGGAGGTAGCCAGAGACCTTCTCTCAATGACAAGGGAGCCACCAGTACGTGTGTGTGTGTGTGTGTGTGTGTGTGTGTGTGTGTGTGCATCTTCTTATATGCGAGGACAGGTGCGTACATTCCACAGCGTGCATGTAGAAGTCAGGTGTTGGTCCTTACCTTCCACATTGCTTGCCATAGGGTCTCTTTATTGTTTTTCTGCTGTGTGTGTCAGACCACCTAGCGCATGAGCATCCGGGATTCTCCCATCTCTGTCCCATCGAAGTTCACACTGCTGTGCCCAGCTTTCACGTGGGGGCCAGAGTTTTGAATTCATGTCCTCACACTTGTCTGGCTACTTTTACCCATTGCGCTGTCTCCTCCACCCCGCAGGCTCCTTTGAAATGTGTTTATTAGGCTTGAGAGATGATGCTCTAGCAGTAAGAGCATTGGCTGTTCTTGTAGAGGACCTGGATTCAGTTTCCAGCTCCAACTGGCAGCTCAAACTGTCTGTGACTCTAGTTCCACGGGCTCTGATGGCTTCTTCTGGCCCCCATAGGCACTCTGTACACATGGTGCACAGACATACACAAACAAATAAGAAAAATAAAGTGTAAAGTGTGTGTGCATGGGTGTATGGGTGTATGGGTGTGTTCATGCTTATGTGTGTCAGTCTGCCTCTGTGCATGTGGAGGCCGAAAGAATACATCTGCTGTCGTCTGTCGTTCTCTGCCTATTCCTTTGAGACAGGGCCTTTCCCAAACCTGGAGCTTGTGTTTTCCTGGCTAGGCTTGGAAGCCTGCAAGCTCCAGCGATCCTCTATCTCTGTCCAGTTATAGCTGGGGTCACAGGTGTACACAGGATGCCCAACTTGTTAGTTGGGTCCTGGTATCAGAACTCTAATCCTTCCTGTATATATTAGTTTCAGCAGAAGTCATGGGAATTGCTTTGGTTAGTCTGACTCTGTTCATACGTCCCCCTTATAAGTAAAGAGTGGAAATGCCCTTTCCCCTTATTCTAGAGAAGGCTGCCCTTATCTTACTGGAGCTCTGTTTCGTGGACAAACTAGCATTCAAGCTGGGTGATCGGCAGCACTGTCATGGTAACAAGGCTGACAGGGTACTGCAGGCATGCTGCCCGAAGGTGAGAAGCCAGTGCAGAATTCACAAGGTCTGGTGGGAAGCCGCTCCCTCAGCCTCCGAGTGGGCACTAGTTCTTTAACGGAGTGCGCACCTTGCTGGGACCTCTGGAAACTGCCCAGGAGTCGTTGCAGGAGGTATCATTCCCTGTGGGACGTGTGTAGCCTGCTGCCCTGCTCACTTGAGGACTAGAGAGCAGCCCCTGTGCTGCTGGGTTGGTGTCTTTGAGGAAATGGATTTGATGATGTCCTTGCTCCACGGGCTGCCCTGTGTCCTTAGTAAAGCTAGACCAGCTGCAAGCCCTCAGTTTCTTGAGTTGAGATGACCAGACCTGGACAGTTCAGCTCTGACTCCGGACCCTGTGTAACTAGTCCAGGTGCTGAGTGAGCGGGGTTTCTGCCCTACTTTCTACCACCAGACCCACTTCAACAGAGACTCACTTTTCAGGTGAGAGAAGGGCTTTGCAATCAAATGGACTGAGCCTCAACTCCTGCCTTGCCAAATTCTGCCTCACCAGGTCCATTTTCGTGTCTATAATTGTAGGGCCTACCTCACAGGGTCATATCAACTAACTTTCCACCCACATGACGAATTACTTTCTCAGGTGCACGACATGGTACACAGCACACAGGTGAAGCTATGGGTCAGTAAAATTGGTAGCTTCCACTTAAATCATGGAATAACAATATTGATTGTAAAATCAGTTAATTACATTTTTAAAGTGCTGTTGGGGGAGGTATTTAGAGGGATTGATGTTGCTTGTTTGTTGAGATAGACTCTTACTACAAATTGAGAACTTCTGTCTTGGCCTCCTGAGCATGGACTGTAGACATCCGTCACCACTCACAGCTGAAAATGCTGGTATTTAAAACATGAACTAGCCTGGTGTGGTGGCACACACCTTTAATCCCAGCACTCCAGAGGCAGAGCCAGGCGGATCTCTGTGAGTTCGAGGCCAGCCTGGTCTACAGAGTGAGATCCAGGACAGGCACCAAAGCTACACAGAGAAGCCCTGTCTCGAAAAATAGATAGGTAAATAGACAGACAGACAGACAGACAAAGCCCAAGCTTGTTCAGGAGAGCTGAGGGAGTTTGGGGAGCGGCGCAGATGTAGGGGAACCATCTCAGTACAGAGGCAGCTGTGAAGCGGAGGCCTGCTCCTGTCTAGCCCCCGCCCTGCCGTGGTGATGAGCTCGCCCCTCTCACCTTCCTCCCTGCACCTTTTCTCATTTCACCTTTCTCCTTCATTGCCAGCTGAGCTAATATGGCGTGAAAACTTAGAAGTCCTAAAGCATTAAGAGGGCATTTTTAGCCAGGAGTGGTGGCCCATGCCTTTAATCCCAGCATTTGGGAGGCAGAGGCAGTCAAATCTCTGAGTTCAAGGCCAGCCTGGTCTACAGAGCGAGTTCTAGGACAGCCAGGGCTACACAGAGAAACCCTGTCTCAAAAACAACAACAACCACTACCACCACCACCACCCAAAAAGGGCATTTTTCTCTGCAGGGCCTCCCTGTCCAGTCCATTCACAGGGACACTCCTCTCATCTGCTCTGAAAGGGCTCCCTCCTCCTTTCATCCAAGGCTGTACAACTTTATAGTCTGAAGGGTTTCCAGGAGTGGAGAGTCAACAGTGTCAGATATTGCCAAGCAAGCGAGGACAGGATTCGTGCCTTTGATAACACAGAGATCAGTATAATCATTGGCCACTTTGACAAGAGCATTTCTGAGGGAGGAGGGTTGGAGTTGGAGACCAGACAGTACAGAGGAAGATAGCAGACCACTGTGGTGGTGGTCTACAGTGTTTCCTTGAGAATGGGATGATGGGGCTGGCTGAAGATGCGGTTCGGGGGGATTTAATTACTAAAGACAGCAGTTCTCAGCACCAGCAGGGGGACAGTGGGTACCAGAGAGCAGGGCTCGGACAGGGTGAGGAGTCCAGGAGTGAGCCAGAGAGTGGAGGGGCAGGAGGGCGAGGTCCGCAGTGATAGATGAAGGCTGCCCTGCAGCGATTCTTAGACATGAGGGGAGATCCAGTGAAGGTGCGTTTTTAAGTGCGGGAAGTGGGGGGGATTGAAAGAATTGGTTCCTGGAGCAGCGGGGGCATGCACAGGAAGATGGGCTGAACCACAGCCCAAATCCCTGGACTTCCTGTTGGGTGCCTCCTACTTCTACTTCTGTGGATTGTGCTCTCATAGGCTGCATTTTGTACCCCTGCTGTCTCCACTGCCTCTTCCTAGGACCTTCATTGGGCTTGAGGTCAGTTCCGGGCATGCCCAGTTCCTGGACATGGTTTCAGCGGTGGACAGAGTCATGGAGGAATTTGACCTCACTACCTTCTACCCGGTAATGCACACGGTTGAGGGAAATGAACAGAGATCACTGTTTCTGCCACAGAGCTGCTGCTCCGTTGCCCTGTCTAGAAAGAGCATCCTCAGAGAAGCCCCATCGGAGGCAAGCTAAAGAGACCCCCAGAACCTACCTCCCCATGTGGAGCCCTGATTGCCAGCCCACGGGATTGGGGTCTGGGGTGTCAGAAGTTATAGTCTACCCAGAGTCCAACATCAGAAAACTGTTTGTGCATCTTAGATGTGTGCTTTCTACTCTGTAAGGCATCCATGTGTGCCTTGTTTTTCCTAAGTAGCTGTCTCAACACTTAGCAAATTGACCCTCTGGAAGAGTTGTAGCTTCACATCCTCACTGTACCTCCCTCTATCCTTCTGAGTATGCAGCGTCCAGCTTGAGTGTCACAGCTTTAAAAGGCCATTGGTTTATTCGATGTGTTTTCAAAACCATGCCATGTGTGCAGTTAGTTTTGAATAGAGATAATTATTGTTTCTTCAAAATTGTTGACTTTTTTGGGTTTTGTTCAGTTAATCTGAAAAGTATGGCCTCTGCTGGAATGTTCTAGATCAGAAAATAGACTCAGAGCTGTTGTCATTTGTTTTTGTTCTTTTGGGGGCCCCATTCAGCTCCCACATAAATCACACACAGGCTTATTCTTAATTATAAACACCCGGCCTTAACTTGGCTTGTTTCTTGCCAGCTCTCCTTAACTTAAATTGTCCCCTTTACCTTTTGCCTCTGGGTTTTTCTCATTCTCTACTTCTGTAAATCTTACTCCAACGCCGGCGCTGGAGCTGGAGCGAGGACCCCGACACCCCGACTCCTCCTCCTCTGGCTGCTGCTTCTCTCTCTTCCTCCCGATTTCTCCTGTTCATCCTCTCTGCCTGCCAGCCCCACCTATCCTTTCTCCTGCCTTTCTATTGGCCAATTCATTATTAGACCATCAGGTGTTTTAGACAGACAAAGTAACACAGCTTCACAGAGTTAAACAAATGCAACATAAACAAAAGTAACACACCTTAAAATGATATTCTACAACACAGAACTGGGCATGGTAGTGCATGCCTTTAACCCTGGAAGCTGGAAGTTCAAGATTAAGGTGCCTGCCTATGTGATTGGTTTCTGATAAGGGCTGTAGCTTGTAAGAGGCATCCCTCACTGTGCCCTTCCCTCATGGAGGGAAAGGAGCACACAGCTCTCTACCCCTCTCTTTAATTTTTCATTATTTTTGTGCTTATGGATGTTTTGCCTACCTGTATGTCTGCGTACCATGTGCATGCAGTGCTCTTGAAGGCCATAAGAGGGCGTCAGATCCCCTGGAAACTAGTGTTTCAGACATTCCTTACAGAGGCTTGTTAACCATCAAGTGGGTGCTGGGGATCAAACCTTTGTCCTCTGGAAAAGCTGCCAGTGTTCCTAACCTCTGAGCCATTGCCCATCCACATCTGTTTTTCCAAGGGCACCACCTGTGCCCTCATTAACCCTAACTGCCTCAAATACCATCACATTGGGGGTTTCACTATTTGCATTTTGGGGAGGAGTACATTTCAGTCTGTAGTGGGGACCAGCCCAAGCCATTTTGTCTGTGTGGGCAGGGGACATGGCTCCAGCACTAGGGACACACCAGGGCTCCCACAGGGAGACCTGACCGACTGTCATAGACCTGCTAGGATGATGGGCCTGCCATGGCATCCAGCGATGGCCTGATTCCCTCCCTGCTTTTCTTCCCTAGGACCCTTCATTTCATGTCAGTCTGGCCTGGTGTGTGGGTGACGCACGTCTCCAGCTGGAGGGACAGTGCCTGCGGGAACTACAGGTAAATTTCCAGGGGAGGGACACAGACAGAGCACTGTGTCCCAAAGATGAGGGGAGGAGCACATGACAGAAAGGGAAGGACTGGCTCCTGAAACCTAAATCTGCAGGAGACCCTCAGCCCTCGCTTCCTGCTCAGATGTCATCCCTGAGCCAGCAGCAGCAGCAACATCTGGGAGCTAAGCAGCTCTGCAGGTGCTCTGGCCCCACCCCAGACCCGAGCAGCCGAACTGCACTCGGGTAACAAAATCTCCAGGGCTTTGGGTGTCCGGCTTTACACCTGACACGTGTTGAGGGTCAGCCCCCACCCCCGCCCCGTCGGCCCCAGCCATTTATCTGAGGTCAGAGGTTTGGGTCTGGCAGTTGTAAATGGAGGAAGGATGCCAGGTCCCAGGAACCTCCAGCCCCCAGAGCCTGTTACATCCTGGATTTTACTTTTGAGTCGGAGTCTCACAATGTCTCCTTCTTGGCCTGGAATTCACTGTAGAGCAGGCAAGCCTCAAACTTGCAGTGTCCTTCTATCTCAGATTCTGAGACTGCAGGCATGTGCCACTCTGCCTGGCTCCATTTTGATAGGTGACCTTCCCGTCAGTGCCCTGGAAGAACTCGCAGTGCCCAGTGCCTGGCAGGGCCCGGAGGCGGGCAGCAGCATGGCCCTTTGTTGGTAGCTCTCCTGCTTTTCTCAGTAGAAGCCAGAAATCCATATTTTTATGTGCAGATTTTTATGGAAAAATCTGATTTTCCAGTGTTGGCAACTGATTTGGATTTTATTTATTTATGTGTTATTAATTTTTTTTGGTTTGTTTTTTCAAGACATGATCTCTTTTTGTAAACCATTCTGTCCTCAAACTCTAAGCGATCCACCTGCCTCGGCCTCCCGAGTGCCTCATTTGGATTTTTTAAAAGTACTTTGCAAGTCAAACTCTGTGCAGGCCATGGGCCATCATCTCTGTAGGCACCTTCCCCTTGGCCTGATCATGTGGAAGGCTGCAAAGAGCTCTGATGTCTAGCTCCAGGAGAGCCCAGTCCCAGACTAAACCGAACTTCACGGTAGTCACTGCCCCACTGCACTGTGTGGGTCCTCCTCTGTAAGCTGAGGTGATGGGCCCTACCTCACATGACTGTAAGGTGATTGGACAGGATAATGATTGCAGAGCCTGGAGTCTGCAGGACCCAGGTCCCTCTCGGTATTGCCCAGTTTACCGGACTAGTGTTGTCTGTGGTGCCTCTGGGTCTGGTTTCCCTTAACATGGCCGTCATCTCCCTACTGCTGGCTGAAGGAAATCGTGGACGAGTTTGAAGACTCCGAGATGCTGCTGCGCATGCTGGCTGAGCAGGTCCGCTGCAAGTCTGGGAACAAATTCTTCTCGATGCCTTTGAAGTGAACCTTGTCCCATGCCTCTCTACAGACCAACTGAGATGGGGGAGCCTGCTGCCGTCTGAGGGATGCCCCAGCAGGAAGTGTGATAATCACCCACCGAGCACTGTTCTAAGGGGCTCCTCTCTCCTGGTCTTTTGGGTGGTAGGTTGATAGGCTGCTGCTGTGGTGTGGTCATTTCCAGAAATCACCAGTAGAGGGCAGCCCGGACCTCTAATTCTTCTGTTAGTCTAGGAAAAGAAAATGAGCCCTGCTGGGGAGCTCACCCGCACTCAGTGGGGTCCCCCTGAGGTCTCTCCACTGCAGCGATCTATATTGATGCCATTGGCCATCATACCCGTTTTTAAAATCATTGTGCCCTGACTCACCTCTGTCAAACTGGGGGCTCCAGTGAGTCTCACCCTTCTTTTAATCTCCTTTATTTATCACTTTTTCCCTTCATCCCATCCAGTGCCAGAAGAGGTCATTTCAGGGCCAGGGCACAAGGTGCTAATTTGTGGTCAGCAGCAGTTTTCCCATTCCTTTCCTCCCACTTACCCAGCCAGGTGCCTGGGGAGAGCCCAGCAGATGTTTCATTTTGGCCTGGCTCTGGCTGCCGGCCAGGCCTCCAACACCTATGACCCCTAGTTTCCCCCATCAGCTTTCCCAAAGAAGCACAGAGGCACCTTTCCTCCAGGCAAAATACTCCTACCCCTGTGGCTGAGCATTCTTCAGGGGTGGGGGTGTCGTGGGAGGTGGAGAGGGTCAGAGAGGCACAGGAGATTTTATTTTCCACCAAGCTCTTATGGGGCAAAGAACCAAGCCTCTCCGGTTGTCATGGGGATTTCTAGTGATGAGTGAAGAAACTTTTTTTTACAGTTTTAAATTATGTTCAACAAATAAAATCTGCCTTTCTAATGTGGTGTCTTGTTTTAAACGACTCCTATTCTAAGGGTGAGCGATGCCTCTGCCTCCCCTCCAGCTAGCTTCACAGTGCAGGGGCTCTGGGAGGCTGTTAGAACTCTGAGGACTTTTATGTATTTATTTATTTTAGTGTATATGTGTTCTGAGAACAGCTCTCAGGAGTCGGTTCTTTCCTGACACTTTGTGGGGTCCATGGTTGTCTGTTCTCAAAAAGTAGTTCTAGCCAGTGCGCCATCTCAGCACCCCTCTGTTGTAACTGTGACTCAAAAAAAAAAAAAAAAAATCGGTTGAGGACGCTGGAGAGGTGGCTGCTCTTCCAGAGGGCATAGATTTGATTCCACACACGTGGCAGCTCATAACCTCTGTGACTGCAGTCCTGGCCTCCTCAGGCACCAGGGATGCAGGCAAAACGCCCATACTCATAAGATTTTAATTTTAAAAAGAAGTAAAAAGTGGAGCTGGAGAGCTAGCTCAGTCAGTCACCTTCTTGCTTTGTGGGCATAAGGACTGGAGTTCAGTCCTCAGAACCCACTTTAAAAAGATGCTGTGGCACTGAACAGTGTAATCTCTGCCCTAGGGAAGCAGAGACCAAAGGATCCCTGAGCTCACTCGCCAGCCAGCCCCGCCTATTTGTCAAGCTCTAAGCCAATGAGAGACTCTGTCTTGGAAAACCAGGTGGATGGTTCCTGCGGAAGAACCGACACCCGGGCTTGATCTCTGACTTACACCTGTGTGCACACCCATACACCCATGCATGCCTACCTCAGCGCACACATACACAAACATCCCCCCTACACACGAAAAAGGAAAGAAGGTGGGGTTACCCTGTCTTCCAGGACTTCATGAAGTGAAACTGCATGCAATATGTGGAATCCAGGGTTTGGCATGTCCCAAGGAATCGCCAGCTCCACTCCTCCCACACAGAGATTAAGGCTCGTCTAGGGCCTTCTTAACTATGCCTCCCTACAGCCGAGCCTGAGGAAGGCAAACTGGGCAGAGGTGATTGCTGTGGAAGAACAGTTACGTGACTTGCCTGGGGACATGAGAACTTGTTTAGGGCCTGACTCAACCCTGGCCTCAGCTCCCCACGTGATGCAGCCTAGGCCATCCCTACACTTGCCTCCTGCTCAGGCCTATGGCTCTGGCTCCCACTCTGTGATTCCTGCCCTCACAACCCTGCCTGTCCCTAGCCTTAGAGAACACAGTCATGCCTTGTTCCCCGGTGCCACCACACCAGCATCCTGGCTTTGCCTGACCTGCTGCCTGGTGTTAGTGCCATCGGAAGCCACAATGGAGAAGAAGCTAAGCATGTTTTCTAGCCTGCAGGCAACACAGTAACCCTAGCTTCACAAGTCACATTCCTGACACCTGCTCCTTGCCAGGTCCTGAATTGCACCCTTGGATTGACCAATCCAGGTCCGGGCCTCTGAGTGTAAAGGGAAAACAGGCAAGGTGTGCCGATTAGAATGCCCATCCCTAACCTTGTACTTGTCCAAACCACTGAGGGCTGCCCCCCTGGGAGATGATGTGGCTCTGCAGGTCGTCTGTGCTGAGGGGAGTTGAAAGTGCAGCCACTTAGAGAAACAGGCCAAGATCAATAAGCAGCTCTTCAATGGAGAACGGAGGTGGCTAGGGAGGAAGGAAGCCTGAGCTGGGGCCGGGGGATGGGCATGTGAGCTGGCAGCCTTGGCTTGGCGGGCACCCAGACATGCAGTGTGCTTCCAGAGTGGAGTGAGTGCCTTCAGCAAGCACTCCGCTGCCGCCGACAGTGCAGAGGCAGCCCAGGTGCTTCCTTCCCAAAGAGAAGCGTTCCAGAAACCAGAGAGGCATGGAGATGGAAGGCCAGAGCAGGCTGGGTGGGCGGTGTGCAGGGAAGGGTTGCTCTTGATGCGGATTTTATCATGGTTGGGAGAGTACAGAATCCACACATCTGGCACTGGCATCCTCCGATGTGCCTCTGCAGCGCAGGGAAAGGCTCATCTCCAGGCCTCACTGGCGGGTTTCCACCTGGTACTAAGACCTTCTCCATTGCCTCTTCAGACCTCCACAGCTCTGTTTCCAGGAGAGAGGCGAAGTACTTGGTGTGTCTGTTTATACCTTCTCTTGGTACCCAGACTCCAAAAGACTGTCCTGTTACCGAACGGGTTCTGCTTTGCCAGCCTGGCACAGTAACGATCACTGAAGTGGTAAGTGGTCAAACGTGAGGAGCGGAGAGCTTCAAGTCAGCCTGACCAACCATAGGCTTTAGTGATGTTCACGGGGTAAAGGAACAGGGTGGTCTGAGGCATGGAGAAAGTGATTGGAGGTAAGGAAAAGAGGCGTAACAGTTCTGCACTTTCAAGCCCTACCAGAGATGGTGTGTGTGTGTGTGTGTGTGTGTGTGTGTGTGTGTGTGTGTGTGTGTGTGTGTGTGTGTGTGTGGTGTATACACATGTATGTGTGGGTGCCTACTGAGGCCAGAAAAGGAGGCCAGGTTCCCTCAGAGCTGGAGTCACAGGCGGTTCTGCCCTACCTGATGTGAGTACTGGGAACCAAACTTGCATCCTCTGAAAGATAGGCAAATGTTCTTAACCACTGAGCCATCTCTCCTGCCCACTCCAGCCCTTTTGAGCTGCCTCCAAGCACTAAAAGGCCGGCAACCTGTTCTCCCATGACCTCTCATCAGAGGGGTCACTCACAGCAAAGCCAATGGGAGTGGACCACATAGCTGCATACTTCTGAAACTGGTAGGGAGAATCGGGCAATGACTAGCAAGTGGAGCTGCAGAGTTAACCAGGTTTTCCCTCAGTTTCAGCCTCATCTTTGATAGTGGGCGCTGCCTGGGGAACCCTTCTAACTAGGTAACCAGAGTATCATCATCTCTGGCCTATTTCTAGCCCACAGCAACTTCACTGAGGAAGAGAACCCACTTATTCAACTGTTAGCTGGGTCTGAACCCTCCTACAAGTAAGAAGGTAAACCTAAATAGACAAATGTTCCGAATTCCAGTAGACTGAGCAGGAATCCAGAGACCTGGCTTCGAATTCAGAGTTTTCTGTAGGACTCCTCACATAAGAAACCATTTCCTTGAGCCAGAAGTGCCCACCAGAACACCGGCAATGGAAGAAAACGCCAGACCTGACTGACCACAGTCTCTCAAACCTTGCCTACATACCCGAGATTTTATTTATTTTTTTTATTTATGTTTACCCATCGAGATTTTACCTATTATTAGGTAACTTTATAAACTTCAGTTTTTAAAAAATGGTCGGGAATAAATTTGCAAACAATTGCAGTACACCTGACTTAAATGGGCTGCTGTGTGTCAGACACTGGACATTTCTCAAAATCAAATTTCAAATTAGAGAATTTGGAAGCCGGTTTCCCAGATGAGGGACCCCACAGGGAGGTTCATCAGTGGAAAGGGGAGAGACTCAGAAAGATCTAGTAATTTTCTCATACTCACGCAGCAGGGGAATGGGGATGCCGATTCCCTCGCCTTGTAAGCCTGAACTCTTGGTTGTGCCCTAACCCCTGACTTGGCGTCTTAGAAATTTAATAAAGAGCCTAAGACACTCCGGGGCTTGTTTTTAAAATTACATTTGTGCGTGCTCACACGTGTGCCACGTGTTCTATCTGTCCACCAAGTGGGTCCTGGGGCTCGAACTCCTGTTGCCACACTTGACAAACTTGATGGTGGCCAGAGCCTTTACCCACTAAGCCTTCCCTGCCCCTCCAACTTCTTTGTTTTGGAGTTTTTTTTTTTTTTAAGATTTTTATTTATTTATTTATTTATTTATTATGTATACAGCATGTATGACTGCAGGCCAGAAGAGGGCACCAGATCTCACTACAGATGGTTGTGAGCCACCATGTGGGTGCTGGGAATTGAACTCAGGACCTCTGGAAGAGCAATCAGTGCTCTTAACCTCTGAGCCATCTCTCCAGCCCTTGTTTCAGAGTTTTATCGTCATGTTTTAAAGTTTAAAAACAGGACTTCACGTCCTTACCCCAGTCCTTTTCTGGACCCCCTCTATCTGAATGCCCTTGACCCTGCCTCAGAATAGAGTCAAGTTATGGGGGTCACCCCTGCTCCCCAGAAGCAGAGATGGGAGCAAAGCAGGCTAGGGAGTTTGGCTGCCATCAGGAAAGATGAGAAGGGTCACCCACGTTGCCTGAGCAACACAACCGGCACCTGCTACTACGAAACCTCGGGTTAGGAACCGCCCCAGCCTCCGCCTAGGTTTGCGCACAGGGAGCACACTGGCCCTTTAAGAGCGCACTGGGAGTAGTTGCGGAGCCAAACTCGCGGGGGACGCGGGGCGCTGGCTAGCTGGCTGGCTGGCTGGCGGGCTCGTCGCGCTCTCTCTCTAGCCGGTTCCCTGCGTTCCTCCGGGGACTGCCTGGGGATCCAGGCCCGGTTGGGCGCGGCGGCGAGCGGAGTCACCGGCGGGAGGCGCGCGCTCTAGGCAGCGCGGGGGGCCACCGGGCATGGACAGAGAGAGCAGGGCGCGCAGGGGGCGCCGCGGGACCGGGCGGCCGGAGCGCTGAGCCAGACAAAGGCTCTGGAGTTGTGCTTGCGCTCGGGGCCGGGGCCAGGGCGCACCGCGCCAAGACTGCGAGTCTCTGCGGCGTGCTGCTCGGCCGGTCCCCCTCTCCTGCGGGCGGGTCCCCGCGTGCCCCGACCTGCCCTGCCCGCTTCTCCTCGGGTTTGGGAATTTGCAGAGGGGACCTGAGCGGCTCCCGCACGCACCGGGAGCCGGAGATCTGCCGCGCGCCCGCAGGGCCGGGAGCCAGGGAGCGTCGCAAGTTTCCCAGCCGCGTGCGAGGACCTGGCGCTGGCCAGCGAGCCAGCCCCGCGTGGAGCGCTCAGGACCCGGCTGGCGGACGACGAGCATGGGCAGCGACCGGAGCGCGTCTGGACGGCCGGGCTGCACTGGCAGCTGCCCCGGCGGCCGAGCTTGGCTGCTCCCGCTGCTACTGGTGCTTCTGGACTGCCTGGGCCGCGGTACAGCGTCTGAGGACGCCGAAGTGTACGCCGCTGAGGTAAGAACCCGGAGGGACGTGGTGCGAACCACGCCCGCAGCGGGAGCTTGCAGGTCGGGGAGACGCACCCCACCTCGGGGGTGAGGGCTGATCTGGACTGGAGAGCTTGGGCAGAAAGCGGGGCTGGCAGGCTGCCACTCCCGGGCCGGAGCTCTGCAGCGCGCCTCTTCCCAAAGCCCTGTGCGAACGGGGCTCGCAGCCGCTCGGCACACTGAAGCCTCCCGTGGCACTGACCCGCCCTAGCTTGAGTCCCTACAGCCGCTTCCGCAGCCCCCAGCCCTCGCCTCTAGTCTTTGCGAGAACCGATTCCTCGAGAGCCAGATCCGCGCCCTGTGGGCTTTGCGAGTTGGGCGGGGGGCTGTGGGTGGGAAGAGCTCAGGCGGAGCAGGAGCCCCGCAGCGCTCACACTTTGGCTGACACTCCTTTGGGTGACATCGTGCGTTGCCTGGCGGGCCCGGATGGTTGGGGGATGGGTGAGAACCACCCAGACAAATGACCGGTTGCACAGATGCTTTGGCGACTTTCTTGCGATTCAAGCATTCCCACGCAAGGTGGGGTCTGAGGAACAGTCCTTATCTCCCGGAACACTTTTCCCACCAGTGCCGCTACGCGCAGGCCTGGGTGAAACAGGGTAGACTCCACGCCTCTTTTCTCTGGAAGCCGGACTGACGTCCATATGCTGGCAGCTCTCTGGATTGGTCCGGCGAGTGGCCACGCGCGGTCTCCCTGCACAGAGTCCCAACCAGTACCTCCCGCCCCAGTGTATCCCTCCAGCGCTAGCTCGCTCACCCCAGGGTACCACTGAACTTTTAAAGACCATTCTTTCCAGCCTTGGGAGAAAGGGAGACTAGGTGTAGAGTCTGGAGAGAGGACGAGCCAGGAACTGCAACCTTGTAGGCTTGGGGCCTTGGTGCCCTTGGGCTTCCTGGAGCGATGGCCTCAGACTGCTGTTTGTATTTGCAGATAGCTTAATCTGCTATCCCAGCCCCGGAGGCTTCCCCACTTTTCAGGTCTGCCTGAGAGACTTTTCCAGTGGAAGTCTGATTCCCCCCCCACCCCCCCACCCCCATTTTAATAAAAACTTGCAGAGACCGGTTACACCTCACAGCTCCACATGCTTTGGCCTCTTCCTCCTCGGGTCAGAGAGTTCCAGGGAGTGAGTCTAGCCCCAACCCAATTCACAAGGGCCCAGGACAGAGGCTTCCAGTGAGTGGGCTCCTGCTGGTAGGAATTGTGTTTGCTTGTATCCATGGTACTGCCACAGGAGCAGATGCCAAAGAATTGCAAGTCACAGATTTGCCTTGGAGTTTGTGGCCTGCACAGACCAAGCTGGAGTGTGGTGGTTGTGCATGGTGAATGGGCCTCCTGGATGGCCAGGATCCGGGAGCTGCTGGGACCTAGGCTGGGGGACTTCATGTCATTTCCTTTGGTGTGCTCTTCTCCCATTATCTCCTCCAACTGAGGAAGCCAAGTGTGCCCACAGCCCTCCACCTCCATGGAAAAGGGCCGTGGTGGCCCTGGCTAGGACTGACTCAAGACACAATTTTGGCTGTGCCTGGAAAGGACTCTGAAATGTTGCATGTTGGAATCCACAGTGAACAGAAAGCTGCAGATGGCTGTCTTAGCCCCTAGAGTTGGCTTTGGAGTGCAGGCTGCTCTGGGAGACCCCTCAGGACTGGCCCTAATTGGGCTCAAAGAGTCCCCAAGCCTTGCTGGCCAGTCCATCTGCTCAGGCATGGTCTGCCTTACACAGTGTCCATGTACCCTTTCCTTTGAGAAAGGCTTTGGTTCTTACCTAAGGGAGTCCACAGCTCCAGATCTCTGGTCAGCTTGTGGCTATGAGTACATTGGTAACTGAGCCAAGGCCAACACCCACCTCATTTCACCCTCCCAGGTGGCAGCCACAGGAATTCACTGAACCAAGGAACCAGAAACTGGCCTGTGCTAGGAGCGGCCCCACACCTGCAGCCAGCTCCCAGGAGCCTGCCTGCCTTGGAAAAGCTACTCCTGAGCTCCTCTTCCCTAGCTTTCCCATTGTGTCCCTGGACAGGCACTGTGTTCTAGAACCCCACCTGGATGAGATACCAGCTTTGTTACCCCATCAGGATCCCATCCTGCTCTGTGGCTATCACACCCGGCAATCTGAGTACCTTCGCTTTTTACTAGAGAAACCCTCCTCCTTCTGTTCCTCCTCGAAGCTTAGTACTCTCAGCCTGTCTCTCGGAAGTGACTCAGGCTGCCAGAGTCCACAGGTGTGGTGCCACCAACACCAACTGGACATTCCCACCTTCCCTGAAGAGTGTCACAGGTCTTCCTGCCCCCACGTGACCACTGAGGAAGATGAGCAAAAGGAGGCTGGAC